CTTACTTTAGCTAAATGCTGTATCCCAACAAACGAGTTTTAAATACAGTACAGTACACTAGTTCTCAGTCTTTGCAATTATCATTAAAATGCCTTATGTACTAAGGACTACATTTACTGAATTCCCTTGACAAGGCTGTTACTAGTCTTTTTTTTCTGTAATTAGTACAGAGTGGGAGGACTTTTTCCAACTCTGTACTATCGCATCCAACATAAACACGGATAAAATATTTTAAAGCATTTAATTTGTACACACCCAACCCAGCCGCTGGGGGGCAGTGCCCTCCCCTGGGGGTGCACTGTTCCCCAGTGCCGGTCCCAAGCCCGGAGAAATGGGGAGGGTTGCGTCAGGAATGGCATCCGGCGTAAAACTTTTGCCAAGACGACCATGCGAGTTGGTAGGACGGTTTACAGGGGCGGATGGAAATTACTGACTCGCTGTGGCGACCCCTGAATAGGGACGTGCCGAAAGGAGAAGAAGAAGAAGAAGAATTTGTACACACCCATTTTATACAGGGGAAAAAAAACTTCAGTTGTGCAGTCATTAGAAAGGAGATCCAACAGGTTCCACTTGTGGAAACTAAAGGTCAAATCATTCAAATAGTGCTGAGAAACGACTTGTGCAGCAGCATTATCCTTCATCTAAATCAGTGTCAAAACAATCAATCGGGGTTCAATCGGGCCCGCGGGACGAATTTGAAAATGAAAAAAATACAGTTTTGTGTTGCATGAAGAATTATCATTCTGGGAGTCAATTTACATTTTAAAAACTATTGTGAAAGTAGAACACGGGGTGAAAATTATTTCTTGATCTGTATACATTTATTTTCTTTTAATGTGCAATACAGTGGACCCCTGCAATGTCACAGTTTGGCATTCACAAATTCACCTACTTTTACTACGTTTTTCAGTACCAAATACCTGTGACTTATGCGGGTAGTTTTATGCCTTTATATCGAATCACTGAAACCCGTTATAAACTGAAGCAATTTTCGTAATAAATCTGAGGTAAAACTTATGATCAGAAACACACATGCACACAGGAATCATTTTCAACGATTTCAATCAAGATCAGACATTCCGTATGTAAAAGCAGGAAAGACAAAGTCAACAGAGACGAGGCACGCCCCCTTCGTGACCAGTCCACCTTCGTGTTCATGTACGCCACAAAAAGTGCACGGCATTAGTCTCATGGCTGTATGTCCAGAATAGACTCGGCCAGGCCGGTGAGTTTGCAGTCCTCCAGCGCTTTGATCAGCCGGCTCAACTTGGCCGCCCTCCCCTCCGCCTGGATGAAGCGACTGAGGAGCTGATAGGCCTGCTCGTACAGGCCTTCTCTGGCGTACTCGTAGGCCAGGTTGTCAATGGCCGTATCCTTCAAAGCGCGGCACTCCATCCCCAGGGTCCTCCCCACATGCTTCCACTGACGGCCCACGCCATTAGCAAAGCTCTGAACATCTGCTGTCGTCAGCATTCGATCCTCTGATGGAAAAAAAAAAAAAAAACATGAACGCAAACTGTACTTAATAGCGATTACGTAAACAGAGGTTGAGGAAACAAACAGAAACACTTCCCAATCCATTCCGGCTTGAAATGCTCTTTCAACTCACAGGACAGTTCCAGAATATACCGTATTTTCCGCAAGAAAAGACGCACTGGATTATGAGGCGCACATTCAATGAATGGCTATTTTGTAAATTTTTTTCATATATTAGACGCTTCGCACTAAAAGGCGCAATTTACAATGCGTCCACTAGATGATGCTACGCTCCGTCCATTCAACTTGAGAGGCGTCCTTCAACTTGAGAGGCGTTCATGACCGCCTCTGAAAAATGTAAATTAACTATTATTGTACTTAAATGAAACTACGAAAATTGAAAATAATGCATTAAAACAGAAAATCAAGCGAGGAAATCACAAAATAAATTCTATATCCCCCCTACGGAATTTATTTTGTGATTTCCTCGCTTGATTTTCTTCGTGGTTTCATTAAAGTAAGAATTAATTTACGTTTTTTCGTAGGCAGCCATGAACGCCTCTCGAGTGGAACGGAAGAAATCATGGAGACGGACAAAGACGTACAGTACCTGTACTTGCCAAGACTGTGAAAACCATTAATAAAGTCTGCGTTTAAAAAAATAATAAAACCACAACCACGGCTCTCATTTTTTCAACAAACTCAGGTGGGTCTTTGTCCGTCTCCTTCCCTTCTTTTCTTCCGGTCAACTCGAGAGGCGTTCACGACCGCCTCCAAAAAACGCATTGCCATTTCCTTTATCGTAGCTCCAAGAGTACAATCAGATAAGATAAAATAAGAAAACCTTTAATAGTCTCACAATGGAGAAATTCCCACTTCACAGCAGCAAAGTTATGAGAGGAAGAAGTAGAAGATCAAAATAAATAGAAGCTGCTGGAAAGGCAGCCACTCTCGCGGCGCCATCTTGAAGTCAAAATAACACAAGATGTCAGTCGTAGTTATTTATTCCTTTGTTGTGTATTCACAAATGATGAAATCACAATATAAATTCTGTAGGGGGGGGGGCTATAGAATTTATTTTGTGATATCCTCGCTTGCTTTTCAGTTTTGATGTATGATTTTCAATTTTTGTAGTTTCATTGAAGTAATCGTTAGTTTACGTTTTTCGGTGGCGGTCTTGAACGCCTCTCGAGTCGAACGGAAGAAAGCACGGAGATAGACAAAGACGCACCTGTATTTGTTTAGACGGTTTTAAAAAATTAACACCACAGCTCTCCTTTTTTCGGGGCTGCAACACATAATTAAAGCAGCGACACAGTTCACTGAACCAACAGCAAGTTATAACATTGGAAGCATGTCTCCAGGAGGGAACCACCTTGGAGTCGACTTATTACCGTATTGACCATAAAAAAGACGCACCGGATTTTAAGGCGCTCGGTGAGCTTTTAAGAAAACGGAAGACTTTTTGGTGCGCCCAATAGTGCGGAAAATACGGTACTTTAGAATCTATACAATGAGATTATTTGTAGCACCCACACCATTGCTTATTTACAAAGTACATATAGTAGTACTGTGAATTAGGATTTGCCCCCTTCCTGATTTCTGTGCTCTTTGCATATTTATCACATATAAAAGTTTCAGTTCATCAAACCAATTTTAATACTACACAGAGAGTACCCAAGGAAACACAAAATGTAGTTTCTAAATGCCAATTTCATTTATTAAGGGACAAAAAAAAAAATCCCAAACTACCTGCCCCTATATGAAAAAGTAATTGTCGGCCCCCTTTGTTACATCACAAAGTAACTTTAACTAATGACAGTTTTGAGAAAGGCAACAGGCAACACACTAGCACTACATTTGTTGAATCAAGAAAAAAAAAATAGAATCTGTCAAGACAAAGTGAAGTAGGCAAAAAGATCTCAAGAAACAAATGTGTCATACCTCGATTCAAAGAAATTCAAGAACTTTGAAATGTGTTTGAAATCTATCAGTCTGGAAAAGGTCACAATGCCATTTCCAAGACTCTGGGGCTTCAGCAAACCACTGTCAAAGCCATTGTCCATAAATAGATCAAACTGGGAACAGTGGCAAACATTCCCAGGAGTGGTCGATCAGCTAAAATTACTTCCAGAGTGTGACGACAACTCATCCAGGAAGTTGCAAGAGAACCGAAAACAACACCCAAAGAACTCCAGCTCTCGCTGTCCTCAGTTCAAGTCAGAGTTCATGACACGAGCATAAGAAAGACACTGGCCAAAGACGGCATCCATGGAAGGGTTCCCAGGCAAAAAGCACTGCTGTTCAAAGTCTAAATCAAAGTCTGGGTTTGAATCCAAATGAGATGCTGGGGTGTGACCTTAAGAGAGCAGTTCATACTAGAAAACCCTCTCGTATGGCAGAGTTGAAGCAATTCTGTGAAGAAGAGTGGGCTCGCTGCCAAGGGTGGCACAGCCAATTACTTTTTCACATAGGGACAGGTAGGTTTACTTTTTTTGTGTGTGTGGCATTTTGGCATTTAGCAACTGTATTTTGTATTTCCTTGCGTTGTCTCTGTGTGATATTAAAATTGGTTTGATAAACTGAAATCTTGCAAGAACACAGAAACCAGGAAGGGAAGCAACTACTTTTTCACGGCACTGTACACTTGCAAAGGAAATCGAATAGCATTGCTACTGTTGGTTATTTAAAGTAAAAAAATAAATACATAAATAAATAATTAAAAAAAACATTTCCGATCTATTTTGTCATTACAGTACTGTGATATGTGGATAAGGAAAAGCAAAGTTGTGAAGTACAACTTAATATGGCATTCGGAAACACTAAGTTATGGAGTATTAGTACTAACAATGACAGTATGTACTTTAACAATCAAGTTAAGGTTAAAACAATTAGCATTCTTTAGTCTAGGGATGGGCGAGTACGATACCTGGTATCGAGCCAATACAAGCCTAATTTCAAGGTACCGGGTATTGTGGAGGCTGCCGATACCAAACACAGACACTTAATACGATACAATACAATCCATGTTGAGTTAAATGGCACTTTCACAACAGAGGCAAAAATAACCGAGTTAGTCCACCTGACCAGTAAATGGTGATATGACACAAGCATCGGCAACACATCATATGCGTCAGAAAGAAAGAAAGGTCTTTCTTCGCAATTATTTGTCATCATGTTAATTGAAATTTTAGGTGTCAAAATACTAGTAGTATTGGTACTTAATATCGGTAGTTGCGTCTACTGAAGAGCGAATACGTGCACAGAAATTGGTCGCAAAAACTTAACATAACTAACAGCTCAGGTTAAAATTCCGATATACAATTTGACGTACTACCTTGACAACAAATAAAAGCATAAAATATATTAAATAAAAGCTACTGCTGCATAATTTGGATTTATATTAATTGGCCATTGCTTTACATTTGAATCTATAGTGTTAGCTTTTCCATTCCAAGAGTTGTAATATTGAAGGTGATTTTTTTCCCCCTTGAAAAAGACCATTAAAGGCTGGAATTTTTAAAAAGCCTCAACTTTTTCCCTCATAATATTCAGCGATTATTACATTTTGTCAAAGATTTTGTTGTTAGTTCCCCTCTCCCTCTTGAAATGTTTTCTTCTCTCCTAATATTGCAACTTTATTCTCATAAAATTAGAACCTTTTTTTCCTCATAATACTGCAATTTTGTTCTTATATTACTTTGATTTTTATATTTTATTTTTTGGGGCGTGGGGATACGTTTTCGTAGCTGACAGCTACTACTTTCAGCCCTGGTTTGACCCATGGTAAAAATGACAATTGAATAGAAAGCTGGCAATTTCAAATTAATGCACTAATCTCCCTTTAGATTGTGACCATCAATTCATAAATGGTTGGATTAGAGAATCATCTGCCAAACTGCACAGTTTATGTGCTGCTAGCAAACTGAGCACAAAACAAATGCAGCAGATGTTCACTGACATATATACATAGTACATGATTTTGTTTTTTTTTGAACCACTTGATCAGATTATATGAGACCGTTTACATCAAAACACCACATTTTCACAAATTCACCTTTCGCTAAATAATTGTCTTGCGGCTTTTGCTGAAAACCTCGCCTAGAGTATTGTTCTTGTGCTCAAGCCAAAGCCATGTTTAATCTAAAAAAATTGCTTTGGCACTATCTTGTGCCATTTCATCATTTCGTCAGGCCACATCCTTTGTTCAATACAAAAAAAAAAGCGCTTTGCTGCCATCTTGTAGCATCTACAGGCAATTACCTTTTGGCGTCAATTACTCACAGAATAATTTAGGTGTATTTGAAAGTAAAACAGCACTCCATAATTTTGCACTTCATAAAAACAGAGTAATTACATCATTATTAAGAATTCAACCGTTTTTGTCACACTGCATCAGTTGAAAGTGCTCCTCTTTCAAGTGTGCATGCCTTGGCCACCTGGTGGCAGTTAAAGACAAACAGGCAGTTAAATGAGATGTTACTATGAATTCCACTTCAAAACAGTCTTGCCTGGATGCAGCAGCCAATCAGATTGCAGCGGAGCACGTCCTGCATAGAACTGTGGGATGCATAATAACGCTTCATTGAGATGTCTCCTCTCTCGGCTCGTCGATCCAGCACTAATATTTAGAGCTCGACCAATTACTCGCCCAGTCAACTTAAGTACATTATCTACGCAGATTGGCTGTATGCGATGCAGAAAATGCAAACCCCAGCAAAATGGGTGAAGAAGCAAAAAAAAAAAAATTCACTTCAAATGCTTCATCTGTGCCGACTGGCATGCATTGGTGCCTGACCGCGAAAACTGCATTGACTATATGTGGAAATGCTGCGTCAGAAACAGCTCGAGTTCAGTCTGACCGCAGCATAAAGTGTGAAAGGACTGATGCAAGCATCAATGCTAATACTGTCTGCATTAAACTAGCGGTCTGAAAAGCTAAGAAATGGGGCTGTTTTTAATAGCACAAGGCATAATTCTCTTTGTTTTATGTTTAGTTTAACCATAAACTTCAACTGGGTGTGTCAGTGCAACTCTGCACCCGTATATTATCAATCATCCAAATTTATTTTTTCTGCTCAGTCGGTGAACAACGAGGGTTTACTGTGATTTCTTTTCTCTCAAAGATATCGCGACAAGACAAAATGAGACTCAACTTACCAAATACTTTATTCTGAAACGTGAAGCAGTTGCTGGGGACTTGCTGTCTGATCGAGATCCGCTGGGACGGAGGAGGCCCGAGGACCTCGAGCTGCAGCTGCTGCTCCAGCCGATCGATCTCTTCATCACGCAGGCGCTCGGGCTGTCACAAAAGTTGAGAAAAGATATTTGGACTGCCTTACAATAGACACGAAAATATACTATGATACAATCCCAACCTGCTCACAACAAGTGAAAATCTGCGACATTTCAACTTATTAAAAGAGACCTTTTAAACATATTCTAAACATACCTGGACCACTATTATAGTTAACAAAAACAAAGTGAAATGATTGAAATAAAAACTACAGTAAAAAAAGTGACATAAAATAAAAACTTTTTTTTTATGGTAAGTGACTGAAATTCGATTTGACATTTACAAAACTAAAACTACTATCTATATAGTATACCTGTGACTGGTGAATTTGCTGTAGACAAAGCTCGAGCTTGTCCAGACATCGATCCAAGACGTGTGTTCCGGCCTTCAGCTGCGTCTCCACGGTGAACTCTTGTGCCACAGCGAGGAGCCGACAGGCATGTTGGGAGATGGAATGACGCACCGCTCCAGAGCTGTAGCTCTCCAGGAATTGCTGACACACTACTATATCCATAAACTTCACCTCCACTCCGAGGAAAGGATCGGCATCGTGAACCTTAAGTATCTCGTACCCGCCCAGACCTCCTGCAGAATCTGACCATGAAAAATAGCAATTGAAAAAAATGGCACCTTGTATGACAGTGTACATTTCTCATCCCTTCAAAATAAACTCAACACACAGCCATCAATGTTAATTTATTATTAATCAAACTAACATGTACAGTAAATGTTGAGGTGCAGATATTATTTGCAGTCACTTGGGGTCACTATCCCCATGTTCCACTGAGAATCTGTGACTTTGAGTGTGTGTGGATGGCCTGGTGAGTGATGTGGGTGTCAGCGATTGAAAGTGCTAATTACATGCTTTTTTTCTTACTGTTTGCTCAGCAAAGCAATGGAAAGTGCTATCGTGGTCAAAATTGCATTGCATATTTTCTTCTTTAAGAGTGAAACAATCCAAAGTTCGGACATGCTGTCTTTTTATGAACTTCTTCCTCCCATCTTGTTAACAGGGCGATTCATGCTCTGCTTCAGTATGTCACAGTACCTATTTTATCTTAACAAATATCTAAGAGGTGCGCTCACTTTTCGATATACTGTACATTTATATACTGTAGGTTGAAATTAAAACGTCACTGCTCACCTATGAGTGTGAGTTTGATGACTTTAAAAAAGATGAACTTTCCCTGCTGGTTTTTATAGAGGGAGAGCAGGTTTGCATCCGGACAGAGCGACTGCAGAAACAGAACGGCACATCCTGTCCATGGTTCTTGATCCAAAACTTTGTCTGCCATCCTATGAATATGGAATGATCATATTATCAAATCAGACAACACTCTCATGAGTGTCAACAGCTCTACAGTTGGAGCACTTCATGTACCTGGGACCTTTTAAAAGACAGCTGCATTCAATATATTATCTAATATACTGTGTACAGTTCATGCCCATATCATAAGACTGCATCCACCGAGCGCTTTGGTTCATGAGAAGCTCCGTCCCTTCTCTATATATTCCTCTTCCCATCATCCCATGCTTCACAGTGACCTTGGTTTCAACAACCTTCAGACCTTGGATGACCGAATTACCCCCCCCCCACCACCACCACCACTCACTGTGTTGGATTTTTTTGTTTGTTTGTTTGTTTGGGGTTTTGTTTTGTTTTTTTATGGGATTTTTTTTTTAGCTCTTCCTTTCTGGTTTTACCTCTGCGGATGTCGCTAATATTTGTCAAATGTGGATTCATGAAGCCCTTTGAGAATTTTATCATTTTTTTAAATGTGATTAAGAGATAGCCAAATAAACTTGACAGGTCCGGCGCTCATTATCAGCTATGGGTGCCGGCTGTGGGTGCACGCTGTTGTTTGTTACCAACTAAATATCCATCCGACGTCTCTACATAGACCCCAGTGCTCAATGCAGCAATTTGGATAGTGCATGGATCTCTCTGGTGAGTTTTAGGTAGTGTATTTAAATTTTTTATCTTTTCACAATTCCATAAATATTTATTCTGAACTGCTCCAGATGATGGACTGTACGTGGCACAGTTGCGTGATATTATATTGCGTTTTTGTATCGCATTGATGGTTTCTATAATTACTACGTCATAGTGGTGGTATTAAGAGACGGATTAAGTGGGGTAAGTCCCCACTGAAGGCCAATAGCATGGCCAGTCACTGACATTTCCTGTAGTGGTGGTGGCTATTAGCAGATGCCTCATTCCACCTTCCTCTCCATCTTTGCCCCAGGCTCTTCTTGCAACCTTCATTACATAAAAACATGTTTAATCTGAAGCCTCCCTCCCCCAATACCAACACAGCCCCAATCTTCTGTACTCTGGATGAACTACAGAGGCCTGCTCACTTACGCCCTCTCCATGCACAGGATGCAGAGGGCGCCGCATGGAAAGAGCATCATTTGAGCTGGATTATGCACGTCCTCATATTTCACTAATACACAGTGCGCTTGACTCTTGGGTTTGCAGGAATCTCAATAATTTAGACAGTATTTAATTATATGCAATCTAATCTATCAGTGCTCTAAAAGTATACTGCGAGATTAGTTCAGCAGCGGTATGAGGATTAAATGATCATCGGAGGCTTAAAATATACCATTCAGCTTTTGCTGCCAAAAAGACAACATCTACTATTCCTGCCTGGACAGTCTGCTTGGCTGACATGGAAAAATGCTAAAGAATGTTCATATGAGGTTTTGCTACCACAAGTTAGTTGTGTCATCACATTGCGATGGTGTTGGGAATTTCTTTCTACCCGTTATTACAAACTAGAACATTATAACTTCAGATGATGGGAACGCATGTGTTACAACAATTATTTCCCATCCGTTCATCTTGTACAACATTTGTCCTCATTAGGGGTGAGGGTGAGCTAGAGGCTATCCCAATCTGACTTTCTTTGAATTTGCAAATGTCAATTCTTTACTCAGTCCAAAATTAGACAGATGCATCAACCAACAATTCCATCTCAACCATATACTGAAGTGGAATTAATCAGTGACTCCTCCAATTAAAGTGTCAAAACGCGCAACAGGAATCTAAGTGATTTTTTTCCCAACCATCATCAGTACTGTATCAACAAAAGGTATTTTTTAATCCTGCTATTGCCTTCATTTAAGTATTTTTTCCAGTAATTTATATTTTGAGTAGTTTTTATATTTTCCTTGATTTAAGCAGTGTTAATATTCGAACTTCATAATGGTAATGGGGTTTACGTGAATATACAAAAAAAAATTCTAATACAATACAAAACGTTTTAGAAAAACAAACAAATCTGGAACATGTACACCATGAGGACATTTTACCCTACTAACAAACACCGTGAAAATTAAGCTTTAGACATCAAAAGTTATCCAATCAGTCTGAATCAGACTGCAATAGGATTGAATTCATTGAAATGGATTTTATTTTCCTGGCTCTGCAAAATAAGGCCGAAATATACTCAACTATGTTCTTTCATTTCAGCGAAAACTTCACACTTAAATGTGTTTAAAAATGATTTACATCCAATATCAGCACAAACAAACAAACGTGACTGTTCCCTAAAGTTTAAATACATATGTGTAATATATACTTGTAGTTGTGTTGTTGATACTCAGCAGATGAGACAGTAGGAACAACTGCAAAACCGTAAAACTTAATCGATGACACAGGGGGGTAGGATTCAAAATCAACTTTACCACCAACTACGAATGTTTGTCAAACTTATTCGCCGTGCCGAACATGCGACGTTTTTGTTCCCTAAAATCTACGCGAACTTACCTAAAAACTTTTGTTATACTGTTCGGTGACGCTTCCTCCTAAAAACTGACCCACTAGAACTGTAATCAGATTCTCTCGTCCTATTGGCTGAAGGTGAGAATAGAAACCATTCTGATTGGTGAAATCCCATTCAGGGAGAGGCAAAAACCGGAAAGAAGTGATTGTTTCTTTCCGGCAAGGAAGAGATTTCGAGTTTCTAAGTAGGGCAGCGGTGCCATTCATTCTGGGTAATTTGCAGCCACTGATAACGCATAAATATTTGATGACAGGCAAGATGTGAATGTATTCCTTATTTCATACAATTATGAAATGATTAGACCAGATAATTTTTGTCATGCGCTCTATTTTAAAACCAGTGTAATTACCATGTCTTTTTTTAATGTTTTACATTTGTTAGGTGCAGTTCACTTGTACTTAATTCCATTTGTCCTTCATTTTAAGTAGTTTGTTTTCTTTTCATTTTCCCATATATTTAATGTTTCTGTATGTTCATGTTTTTGGAATGTGAGAGGCACTCAGTCAACACAGAGTGGAAAGCAGACTGGTAACCACTAAACCTAAAAATAAATAAATAAATAAACAATGTAAGAGAACTGTATGTAAAACTTTATTCATAATACACAAAAGAGAAGTCATAGAATACGCCAGTAGAAGAATTGCTCTTGCTTCTGTGGTTGACATGCTTGACAAATTTGAGGGTTTCCTTGTCTCTGTAGACCAGAGCGAGGGAATTATCTTCGGGATAGATGGTCAGCAGCTTTAAATGAGAAGAAAAACACAATATGATGCTCAGCTAAGTATTGATGGCAGATTTATCTAAAAATGTGCTTAATATACAAATTCACAACACTCACCTCCTCATCCTCTTCATTCGCAACGTAACAACTGAAGCCTCCAAACTCGGACTGCCAGCCTAAAATGAAATAAAAATTGTCAGTCATCATTTCTATCCATCCTCTTCCTGTCCCTTATGACTGGTTAAATAATGAAATAAAATACATCCTACTTACCACAGATGCTGATAATCAAATGTGTCAATATGTGTACATTGGTACAGATGTGATTTGGTAATCAAACTTGCGTTTGCGCTGACCAACCAATCAGAAGACAAAAAAAATGATTATATTGTTGGACCACGAGCTATAATAATCGAATTTATGTGTAAATGTGGGTTAGTGAGTGATTGTGATAGTGATACATGTGTCTGATATTCCACCAATTCACTCATTTCACTCAAAAGGTCATTTGTTGTTCCCATTGTATTGACTGACCAGCGCAGCTGAAAGGTAAAATGAGGTCGAGTGCGTATTCCGCTCGTGCTGCCTCTCCATCGTGCAGTAAAGTGTAGCTGCTGTGGGACCATCGTCGCAGTTCACCACAACATGTGGGTGTACTCGGCTCTAGGAAGAGGAATACAAAAACATTCACCGGGAAGCCAAAAATAGGGAGCAAAAGAAATCCCACAAACCTGACTCTATGCTTGTTTCATTTGAGGACCCCGTTGCTTTGTCGTCCTTTTCACAACTTTCCTTCTTCTCTTTGTCTTTATTTTCACCACCATCATCACCATCGTCATCATCAGCGGGACAGAGGTAGTGCAAACGGAGGCCCGTGAAGTTGGACAGAAGCAGGAAGAATGCTTCTGAATGAAGCAGCTCCCAACAAGCACTCACACACTCGGGTAGAGTGTCCAGACGGGCTGATTCATAGCATCTAGACGCGTTGAAATGCAACAGTGATCACCATGATACATCGTGGGTCACCTTTCAGTAGCAAACACCCCTCTCCCCACACCATTATAGCACAGATCTGTATCCGATCATATTGATTAGTAATTACATTATAGACGATAGCCTGAATTTAGAGTTGGGCGCCTTCAATGTAGAACCACAGTGCCCCACAACATGCCAGGCAGTACTGAGGCCGACTACTCCGTGTGTGTTAAAGTAGCAGTGGTTTGAATATGTCAATGCAAATTTCTATTAGGCCATCTATACCATCAGTCGGCATCCCGCGGCTCCGGAGCCTCATGCGGCTCTTTCATCCTTATAATGCGGCTCTGATTGGCTTGGGAAAATAAATTACTAAAAATTTTTTTTTTGTATTTAATTGAAGTGTGTTTTATTTGTGTTAGTTTTTATATTATTTTAGTTCTAAATTTGAAGATTATTGTGATCTTGAAATATTAAAATATTAATTAAATTATTTGATATTATTTTTTTCGTCGCTCAAAATAGACGTCACACTGCGGAAGCTGGTATACCCGCTGAAACGGCGTCTATTTTGAGCGACTTTCAACCCCGGCAAAGCCAATGGA